GAAAACTACAAGACACTACTGCAAGAAACCAAAAGAGACTTGCATCAGTGGAAAACATACCTTGCTCATGGATAGGTAGACGCAACACTGTGAAAATGTCAATTCTACCCAAAACGATCTACAGATACAGTGTAATCCCAATCCAAATTCCAATGGCATATTTTAATGAGATGGAGAAACACATCACCAACTTCATACGGAAAGGGAAGAGGCCCCAAATAAGTAAAGCATTACTCAAGAAGAACAAGGTGGGAGGCCTCACACTACCTGATTTTAGAACCTGTTATACCATCACTGTAGTCAAAACAGCCTGGTACTGGTACGACAAGAGATACATAGATCAATGGAACAGAACTGAGAATCCAGATATAAATTCATCTACCTATGAGCACCTGATATTGACAAAGGCCCAAAGTCCGTTTATTGGGGAAAAGACAGTCTCTTAACAAATGGTGCTGGCATAACCGGATATCCATCTGCAAAAACTGAAACAAGACCCATACCTCACACCATGCACAAAAACTAACTCAAAATGGATCAAAGAAATAGAAAATCGAAATGATAAAGATCATGGAAAAAAAAACAGGGACAATGCTAGGAGCCCTAATACATGGCATAAACACAATATGAACCGTAAGTAACAATGTACAAGCATGAGAAGAGAGACTAGATAAATGGGAACTCCTAAAAATCAAACACTTATGCTGTTCAAAAGACTTCACCAAAAGAGTCAGAAGACAACCTACAGACTGGGAAAAAATTTTTGGCTATGACAAATCCGATCAGCGTCTAATCTCTAAAATCTACAAGATACTGCAAAACCTCAACAACAAAAAGACAAATAACCCAATTAAAAAATGGGCAACAGGCACTTTGCCAAGGAAGATATTCAGGCAGCTAACAGACACGTGAAGAAATGCTCACAATCATCCGCCATTAGAGAAACGCAGATCAAAACTACAATGAGATATCATCTCACCCCAACAAGGCTAGCATTAATCCAAAAACCACAAAATAATAAATGCTGGAGAGGTTGGGGAGAGACTGGAACACTTATACACTGTTGGTGGGAACGTAAAATGGTACACTTTGGAAACTGATCTGGCGCTTCCTTAAAAAGCTAGAAATAGAAGTACCATACGATCCAGCTATCCCGCTCCTTGGAATATATCCTACAGAAATAAGAGCCGTCACACGAATAGATGCACACCCATGTTCACTGCAGCACTGTTCACAATAGCAAAAAGATGGAAATAACCTAGGTGCCCATCAATGGACAAACGGATAAACAAATTGCGGTATACCCACACAATGGAATACTATGCAACGATAAAGAACAATGATGAAGCTGTGAAACATAACATGGAGGAAGCTGGAGATCATTATGCTGAGTGAATTTAGTCAGTCACCAAAGGACAAATATTGTATAAGACCACTATTATAAGAACTCAAGAAAAGGTTTAAACACAGAAGAAAACATTCTTTGATGGTTACAGGGGTGGGGAGGGAGGGTGAGGGTTATTCACTAAGTAGATAGTAGATAAGAATCATCTTAGGCGAAAAGAAGGACAGCATACACTACAGGGGAAGTCAGCACAACTGGACTAAACCAAAGCTAGTAAGTTTCCTGAATACAATCAAACTCTTTGAGGGACAGAGTAGCAGGGGTAGGAGTCTGGGGACCATGCTTTCTGGGGACATCTAGGTCAACTGACATAACAAAGCTTATTAAGAAAATGTTCTGCATCCTACTTTGGTGAGTAGTGTCTGGGGTCTCAAAAGCTTGCAAGCGGCATCTAAGATGCATCAATTTGTCCCAACCACCTGGAGTAAAGGAGAATGAAGAACACCAAAGACAGAAGGAAAGTATTAGCCCAAGAGACAGAAAGGGCCACATAAACCAGAGACTTCATCAGCCTGAGACCAGAACAAGATGGTGCCCGGCTACCACCAATGACCGCCCTGACAGGGAACACAACAGAGAGTCCCTGATGGAGCAGCAGAAAGATGGGGTGCAGAACTCAAATTCTAGTAAGAAGACCAGACTTAATGGTCTGACTGGAAAGCATGGCCCCTGGATTCTCTATCAGCCCAGAACTAAAACAATCTCCAAGGTCAACTCTTCAGACAGGGATTGGACTGGACTGTGGGACATAAAGTGGTACTCGTGAAGAGCGTGCCTCTTACGTCAAGTAGATACAAGAGACTAAACAGGCAGCTTCTGTCTGGAGGTGAGATAGGAAGGCAGAGAGGGTTAGGAGCTGGTTGAATGGACATGCGGAATCAGGGGTGGAAAGGAGGAGTGTGCTGTCACAGTATGGGGAGAGCACTTAGAGTCACATAGCAATGTATGTATAAATTTTTGTATGGGAAAAAAGAAAAAAAGTATCAATTGTTGGTTTATATTTCAAATTTATATTAATAAAGTGACAAACACAAGATAATACAGTAGAGTAAGGCTTAAGAAGTGAGCAAAGGGGGACTAAATGTCGTCCCCTACCACCAAACCTTGTACCTTTCTTTTGTTTTTTTTGCCTTCCTGGGCTTGTCGTGAGCCAGGAAGCTAATGATAAATGGAAAGGGGAAAAAGGGGAGGTGGATGGAAGGAACAAGAAAGCAGAGTTCAAGGCATACTCTCCCAGCATTTCTTTCAGGAATCACCACATTAGAATGAATGAATCTATCGGGAACATATTCAAAAGGCCATATACTGAGGTTCTAGCTTAGACCCAAAGATCAAATAAACAGCCAGTCTATGAAGAGGAATCATGAATGATGCAAATGTGTTTAACACCTTTTCTTTTAAAACAACTGTACAAACTTTCCATTTTTTCAAATTTATTCTTCCATATCAGTAGATATTTTTGTCTTTAAGAATGCACAGACAGAATAATTCAGAAAAGGATAGTGATAATGGTTATACAATATGATGAATGTAATCAATCTCACTGAATTATACATGTAAAAATTGTTGAACTGGCAAATGTTCTGATATATATATATATTTTTTTACCACACACAAAAAAAGAATGTACACCAAAACTTTATCTTTAAAAATCATCACGGTATTATGAACAGATTCCAAAATGTTTAGCGAAGTTTAGAATAATTTTGATGAGTTTGTTGAATCTCTCATTTTAAATAAAAACAAATACTAATATAGTCATGTTGCTGTTGAATGCTTAATTTAAAAATAATTAGAGAGAACTCCCTTATAATACAAATCTGAAACAAAGAAATGGAGACCATGGTTCTCTGACAAGGACTGTAATGGAAATCAAAGTAATCAGAACTTGATTGCAAGGAACAAAAGAAATATACAAAAATGGCTAAGATCCATATCTCTCTTCAAATTGCTTCTCTTTTGGAGGTTCCAGTTTAGACTAAGGATATAAAATCAAACTTCAGAATCACCTGAACAGTTGATCAAGAATTCCATCCCCCACCCCCCACCCAATAATACATTGATGAATCTTTGTCATAAAGGCACTAGAGGAAAAAGGAGGATTCAACCCAAATAAATACCTGTTCCTTGTTTCTTTTTAAGAAGAGATGCACAGGCAGCATTAGTAGCCATGTCCAGGGCCAGCTTCTTCTCGTTGTTCCTTAAGTCTGTTCTAGCACCTTTCCAAACACAAGAAAAGTCAATGAGATGTTTTTGAAGACTATATAGTTGGTCAGCCAATCCTCTTCCCACCAGAAAAAACTACTTTTGGCAAACAGAACAATTCTGGCCCAGAAGTAAACTTTCTCAAAAGAGTAAAAGAGGAGTCTGTAATAGTATATCTGTCGTCTTTAATTAGGGAGCTGGTTGCCACCCATATGATAATTATGTTCAATTAAAGCATAGCTTTTCCCTTAGAGTTCCTATAGCATTGCATGTGAATGCTTCAATGAGGCGTTTACCAGTCCCCTTGGTAAATCCTAAATCATCGGTTAGACCCCAATGGTTACATGTGCCTCAGCATGACTGTTTCAAGATTAAATTGCATATGATCTTTGCTTCTGCTCAACAGAGTCTTTAGAAAAGAGCATAGGAATTGAGTTGGAGGGACTTTATATCTACAAGCATAGTCTAGTGCAAATCAGCAGAATCGCAACATAATAAAACCCAGAGGCAATTCATTGTTCATGTAACTCATCTCCTACTCATGTTTTTCCTTGTCTTTATTGTGTCAAAATTTACGTAAGGAATTCATGAATGCATTCTCATTGTTAAAGACAAATATACAGAAGTATGCTGAAGAAAAATTGTAAATCCCCTTTCATTCCCAACCCTCCCTCCCCTCACCTGCCATCCTCTTCAGAAGGAACGTTCTCAACAAGAATGTGATTTCTTGTCTCCCGAATGTGCATCAATGCATCCAGACATACATATGTATGTATACACATGAAATCATACTACATGTACTGTTCTGTAATTTTTTAAAAGACTTAATATATAATGGTACTCATTTCTCAGCAGTACACACCTTATAACTCAATAACCTTTTATAAGTATTCCATTTTGTGGATGTTCTAAAATGTATCTAATCATTTCTCTATAAATGGGCAGAGTCCCTAGGTGGTGCAAACACTTAAGCGCTCGACTACTAGCTGAAAGGTTTGCAGGTTCAAACCTACCCAGAGACACCTCGGGAGACAGGCCTGGCAATCTGCTTCCGAAAAACCACAGCCTTGAAAGCCCTACGGAGCACAGCTCTACTCTATGTCAGAACTGACTCAAGGGCAACTAACAACAACAACACTATTAATGGGCATCTTAGCGATTTCCGATTTTCATTATCACAAACAAAACTGCCGTGAACAACCTTGAGCAACATCTTTGTTCACCTGCATTTCTGAAGGATAGTTTCCTAGAAGGGATGCTGAATATAACAATACGTGTGTTTTTAATTCTGCTAGTTATTCTCAGATTGCTTTCGGAAGAGACTTCACCAGTTTACTCTTTCTGCCACAGTGTGTGAGAGTGCTATTTTCTTTGTAACCACCCCCTGCTTAACTGCTTAATAAACAAAAAATAAATGTCCCAAAACTGACAAAATATTCTGAGTCAAGAATAAAACAGGATATGAAATAGTATACAAAAAAGATATAGTATACAGCATATGAAATGTATTATGGTAACCAGCGTATGATCAGTATAGTAAACATACTACAGTAAATAGTATATGAAAAATAGTATAAAAATATAGTGATCTTACATCAAAATCTCTTTCTCCTGGGCAGATTCCAATCTATCCCCAACTAGGGTTATATGTAAAATTTCATTCTCTCATTGTGTTACAGGTCAAAGACGCCTGAGGGTTAACAGTTCTGTGACTACTCATGTTTACATTAAATTATACTTTACATGATTTCTGTCAGGACAGGGAATGTTCGGACACAGTGATGCTAGAGATGAGAAACTGTCATTTCCTCTGTCTCTCTAACCAGAGCTGCCCAAGAGAAATACCCTGTGAGCCACAAATGTGAAATACATATATAATTTAAAATTTTCTAGTAGCCACATTTGCAAAAAGTAAATTTTAATAATACATTTCATTTAACTCAGTATATCCAAAATGTTATTATTTCAATATGCAATCAATATAAAAATTATTGTGATATTTTACCTTTTTTTCCCCCCACTAAATTGTTGTACATCTCAATTCAGCGAAGCCTCATTTCAAGGGCTCAGTAGCACATGTGGCTAGTGGCTGCTGTATTAGTACAGTTCTAGGCATATCCTTTTTGTGAGGCACAGTAGTGGTCCTCATGACCTGGAGCTTACATCATTACCATACTTCAAATGAAAAACAGTTTCTCTCCTATGTCCCACGACGTAGCTCAGAGGATCCCTGACAGTTAAGCCACATAAAGTATGGCCTGGGCTCAAACTTCCTTTGTTAATAGACTTCTGGATCAGCATGTGGTATGGGGTCCAGCGCTCTCTATGATATGCCTAGCCCAGTGTAAGGGTTAATTGATACTTGTGAGGCAAAGGATGGATGGATGGTTAATCCATAATTTCACTTTTCCCTCTGACTTGGTGTAAAAACAGAGAATTTAGGTAGTCTCGTTCATTCTCTGTATATCTAGCACCTGCTCAGCTCAAAGCAGGACATTGCAGCTACAGCACTTTTTCTGATCTATCAAGACTTTCCTGTGAGAACAGGGTCCTCAGCAACTTTACCCATACAGCTTTCTCAGAGAGGGTCTCCCCCATACTCACTCACTCACACACACACACACATACAATCTCCGTCTAAAGACCTTTAATCCTGCAGAAATGTGTAGTAAGTCCTTACTAATGTTACATACGTCATTTTAAAGCTTACCAAAGTTTTATCACTAAAAATTCATACACATCAACCCCAAGCATCTCGTCTTACACAGTATAACAACCATCATACTGACAGAAAACAAACAAACAAACAAAAGAGAAACCAAACCCATTGCCATCGAGTTGATTCTGACTCACAGTGACCCTACAGGACAGAGTAGAACTGCCCCATAGGGTTTCCAAGGAGCGGTTGGTGGATTTGAACTGCCAACCTTTTGATTAGCAGCCAAATGCTTAACCACTGACAGAATGGAGGTTAAATTCCCAGTTTAAAGATAAGAAGCCTATGATTCTTCCTGCTATTTCAAATGCTATAATTTGATGTAGTCTATTTTTTAAGTTAAGCAAAGGCCAGATAAGCTCAGCACAAATTTTACCTTTCGCCAGAAGCAACTGGACAATATCTGCATAACCCTTCCAGGCGGCAGCATGCAAAGCTGTGTCCCCCAGCTTGTTCTACGGTGGTAAAAACAGAAAGTCACATTTTTAAAATAGAGAGTGGACTGAAAAAATACATTGATTTGGGTTTAATCTAGTTAAACCTAAAATGCGAACAATTTTATAAAACTGTATGAAATTCCAAGGAGCACTGGAAAGGAAGATGAAGCAACAAGAGTCATTTTTGGACAATGGAATGAGATGGAGGAGAAGAAACCAACTCCTGCAGTTGCCTGCAGAGGGAGACACCAGGAAGAAGCAAGCAGATATGCCCCGGAAGAAACCTAGCAAGAATCAGGAATTGAAGGGTCCTGGAAACATTAGGGCAGGAATGAGGCATGAGGGTGAAAACAGGAGTATTGGTTGAAAGTGTTTGTAAGAAGCAGTTAGAATCCCAGATCAACTTTCTCTCCCCTTGCTGCCAGATGAACCAGAAAAGATGGTAGCAATAAGGCAAAGAACTAAAAACAGGGGACTAGCTAAAAACCTACACAGGCAACAGTAAGACCCCCTCTCTCAGCTCCCTTTCCTTGCCCTAGTGCCCCAATGTGTGCAGTCAAACATACACCCTACGGGTAGGAGAGTGGATGATACTTCTCTGGGAAAGTTAAACAACCCCACATGGGGGAAAGAGGGGATATATATATACTGGCATTTAGGTGTTGCCTAGCAAAACTACCAGGACCTCACCACTTCACCCTCCAGAGAAGCCCACTAGCCACCAAGCCCCACTAAGCACACTGATCTTCCAATCACACTTAAAAATGAATGGATAGATAAAGAACTAGGTATCTGAACAAAGCCTCCAATATACAAAGAAAGACCAAAATAAATGGAACACAGAAGAAAAAGACATATTACAGTAAAGAGTAGAAAATGTTTTTAACATACTATAATTAATATATCAGAGAGAGAGAAGATGACATTCATCATGAAACAAAAAGATGATTTTTAAAAGGAATAATTAGAGTAAAAGAAAGAGCTTGTGATACAAATTATTCCAAGATGTTCCCCAAGATTTCTGTCCCCTGGTATATATGCCCCGTATAATTTCCTGCCTTTGAGCGATGGTGGGGGCAGTGAAAATAATACGACATCATTCCCATGATTAGGTTTCTAAACAGTTAAATCTGAACTACTCAAAAGGGAGATTATTCTGGGTGGGCCTGACCTAATCAGGTGAGTCCTGTAAAAGAAGGTAAAGAGAGACACTCTCCTGCTGGCCTTCAGGAAGAAAGCAGACAGTCATGCTGTAAACTGCCTACGGACAGGGGCAGCCTCCAGAGGCTGAGGGCCTCAGTCCTTCAGGTACAAGAAACTGAGTTCTGTCAAAAACCTGATGAGCTTGGAAGAGTACTCAAGCTCCAAATAAGAACTTGGCCCCAGCCAACCCCTTGATTTCAGCCTGTGAGATACTGAGCATATAATCCAGCTATACCATGCCTAGAATTCTGACCTACAAAAACTTTGAGGTAGATGAGCATTGTTTGAAGTCACTAAGTTTGTGGTAATTTGCTATGCAGCAACTGAAAACTAATACAGAGCTCTTGGGAGTTAAAAAGACAGCCAAGATAAAACATAAAGATGAGAAAATTGGAGGTTCAATCCAAAAGGTCCAACATCCTACTAATAGGCATTCCAAAAACAAAGAAAATGGTCAAATAAAAACTATAAAAGAAATAATACAAGATAATTTTCTAGGCTGAAAGAATTCACCATACGTTCATGATAGCAAAAAGATGGAAACAACCTAGGTGCCCATCAATGGATGAACGGATAAACAAATTATGGTATATCCACACAATGGAATACTACGCAACTATAAAGAACAACGATGAATCCGTGAAATATAACATGGGGGAATCTGAAAGGTATTATGCTGAGTGAATTTAGCCAGTTACAAAAGGACAAATATTGTATGAGACCACTATTGTAAGAACTCAAGAAAAGCTTTAAACACAGAAGAAAACATTCTTTGATGGTTACTAGGGTGGGGAGGGGGGGAGAGGGGTATTCACTAACTAGATAGTAGTCAAGAATTATCTTAGGTGAAGAGAAGGACAGCACACACTACAGGGGAAGTCAGCACAATGGGAGTAAACCAAAGCTAAGAAGTTTCCTAAATACAACCAAACATTTTGAGGGACAGAGTAGCAGGGGCAGGGATCTGGAGACCATGGTTTCAGGGGACATCTAGGTCAATTGGCATAACAAAGTTTATTAAGAAAATGTTCTGCATACCACTATGGTGAGTGGCGTCTGGGGTCTTAACAGCTAGTAAGTGGCGTCTGGGGTCTTAACAGCTAGTAAGTGGCCATCTAAGATGCATCAACTGGTCCCAACCTATCTGGAGTAAAGGAGAATGAAGAACACCACAGACACAAGGAAAGTATTAGCCCATAAGCCAGAAACTTCATCAGCCTGAGACCAGAAGAACAAGATGGTGCCCAGTTACCACCAACAACCGCCCTGACAGGGAACACAACAGAGAGTCCCTGATGGAGGAGGAGAAAAGTGGGGTGCAGAACTCAAATTCTAGTTAAAAGACCAGACTTAATGGTTTGATTGAGACTGGAGGGACCCCGGAAGATATGGCCCCTGGACTCTCTGTTAGCACAAAACTAAAACCATTCGCGAGGACAACTCTTCAGACAAAGATTAGACTGGACTATGGGATATAAAATGATACTCCTGAAGAGTGTGCTTCTTAGCTCAAGTAGATATATGAGACTAAATGGGCAGCTCCTGCCCAGAGGCGAGATGAGAAGGCAGAGAGAATCAGGAGCTGGTTGAATGGACATGAGAAATCTGGGGTGGAAAGGAAGAGTGTGCTGTCACAGTATAGGAGAACAACTAGGGTCACATAACAACGTATGTATAAATTTTTGTATGAGACACTAACTTGAATTGTAAACTTTCACTTCAAGCACAACAATAAAAAAAAAAAAAGAGAATTCACCATAATTATTCAGAAAAGACTCACAGTTAAGGCACATCACAATGAAATTTTAGAACAACAAGGATAAAGTGAAGGTTTTTAAAGAGAGAAAAAGCAGATCACACATAAAAGAATGGGGATCAAAATGGCATCAAAACTCTCAAAAGCAATCCTGAAAATTAGAACACCATGAAGCCATGCCTTCAAAATTCTGAGGGGAATGATTTTCAACCTTAAAATCTAATCAGCCAAATAATCAATCCCAAACTGCCGTTTCTTGGGAATCTACCTGAAGGCATGCTCTCAAAAGAAGGGGGTAAGCCAAAAGGAAGACACAGGATCCAACATGAGAGGTAAAGGGCCACAGAAACCAACTTGTTTAGATTAGAAAGTGAGGGTGAGGGTTCCAGGAAGTATAATTCTAGAGGGGTGGAAGGAAAGTAATCAATTATACATTTAGGAAAAGTACATTAGGAGAGTATAAAAAGTGTAGGAAAAGGGGGAGTTTTTGCTTAGGGGGCATTGAGTTTATGTTAATGGTAGTGGAAAGATTTGGAAAAGGATATTGAGAATGGCTGCACAACTTGAAGAATGTAATCAATGTTACTGAATTATACATGTAGAAATTGTGGAGATGGCGCACGTTTTGTTATGTGTATTTTCACCACAATAAAATAAAATTTTTTTTAAAGTACAGGGAATCTTAGTGAGAGCCACAAAAAAGCTAAATTAAAGTCAATAATTAAGTATGGAAACAAAAAAAGTAATTTAAGAAAGGAACATAATAGATTATTTGTTTTAGCAGTGAACAATAGTTAAATGGTCATAATAATATACATATTATATAGTAATATAACCCAAAACTGTGATATGACTGCAAGTGAAGGCCAGTGAAAAGACTAGGTGCTGGGATGCTGAACAGGAGAGTTGGGAGTCAGCAGGGGCAGCTGATGAGCTAAAATCTTAACCTACTATATAGGAAGCCAAGCTGATGACTCAAGTTGACGAATTACTATGAATTACAAGATAGCTCCATAAGCATATTCATTAGTAACACGGAGGTGAGCACAAGAAGAAATAACTACCGTCTTTTTACACAGATAACACATGCCTTCTAAGTTTGTTTGCCAACCGCTCCCTCCCCTCTCAAGTATTTTCATAAGCATGCTATGCTAATTTTTTTTTTCTACAGCAACATGTAAAAAAAAAAATTGGCATGGTGGCGCTTATGAAAGTACCTCATGGGGGGAGGGAGCGCTTGGCAAACAAACAAAGTAGGTGTGTAATATTTGTGTAAAAATACAGTAAAAGCTAAAAGTGGATGAGGAGGGGTGAGATACGCATTCTGGGCTTTGTACAATTTGAATTTTAGTGCAATAGTAATTTTTAAAGTATGTGCTTGTAGTATTTTGATTAAAAATTTTATAAAAAATAATAAATGGGAAAAGGCAAGTTCGAAACACCAAGACAGAATTTCACATGCCCATAAGCTGCACTGTATTAAGAGAACAAGGCAGGTGTACTGAATGATGGCAGGGTTAGCAGTCTCACCTGCTGGTTCAGTTCAATATTTGGCTGAGTAAATAGCACTTCCACTATATCTGAAATTCAAACAGAAAAGATATTTTTTTAAAAGAAAAAGCCTGACAAAATTAGGCATAGTAGTTTTAAAAGAGAGGTCTCTTTAGAGGAACCTTCAACTTTAGTCATTAAGAGAAGATTCTTATTATAAAAATTTTAAGGTCTATGTAAAGAGAAAAACTTAAAAGATTCAAAAAGTAGATTTATGGAAAAGTTTTTTTTTTTTCCCCAAAGAGTTTTGACTTCTGCATTTCCATGTGACATCTACTATATAAATACTTCTACATTCACTATGATATTTAGTACTCATATAACTAGTGTTATATTCGCTAAAATAAAATAGACTTCTTTTGGGAGGTAGTCATAAATTTTCTTTGGCAATGTTATTTAATTTGTTGGGCTCTTGGTTTTTCATTGTTAATAAGTTTATTTTTTTTTGTTGTTGTTGTAGGGATAAGTAGAAAGTGAGTGGGTGGTAGATTTTTGGCCAAGCTGAAATACATCTAGAAATTCGATTTGTCATTATTACTGATATAATAAAGTATCAACCAAATCACTAACTTAAGCAAATAGAAACAAATAGTCTTCCCCAGAATTTAATAGTTTTCCTTAGCTTAAAATACAAATCATAAAACCGTAACTCCTAAAAAGCTAAGGTAGAAGACCCAATCTTGACCCTTTCTTCTATAAGATTGGCTAGCTTTGTTTTCATAGTGCTGCTGTTTTCCTGTAACCTTCCTAAGCCTGAGAGAGGAAAAGAAGTTTCCAGTCTTTCAAGTGAGATAGGTCCATGTAGTGAGGCTGACTGGCCACATTTATACCCACTGTTTTACAGAGCTTCCAGGAACAAAGCTTTTGGCTGACGATCTAAAGGATTTGAAAGAAAAACCAAAGTCTTTTTCATTTTTGTAAATCTGCCACCTTATGTGAGGCACATTTTCAGCAGCACAGACATTTATGATAACAAACAAAATTTAATACCTTTGTGTCCCCCATGGCAAGCCCAGTACAAGGCAGTGCTTCCAGCTTTGTCTAAGCCATTAACACCAACTTGGTTGTCCAAACACTCTCTCAACCAGCTCAAGTTGCCTGAAAGAATTTTACATTTATAAAAACACAAGAAATAGGTTTTTTATTTTTGTTTTGCTTTAAAATCAATTTCATCCTGCACAAATCTCCATTTGCAATGGATTAATCAGCAAGTCTTAAATTAAGACATGCCCAATAACGCATTCATTATGGCACATTCTGACTTGCAGTTTATTAATGGAAACCATTAACATCAATTTTTAATGGTAGGTTAAAGGGAAAACTTGCCTAAATGGGTCTACTTAAAGTATTTCTGCTCTGTTTAAAAAAAATAATAATTTTTTTTTCCTCTGTGAAATTCTGGAACTTAGTGAAAAAACAGTCAAACCTAAAAATAAGCAGGCACTACTCACATTCATGGAGCCCTGGTGGCTATATTCATATTTAAAATGAATTTCAGTTCTTACAAGAAAAGGAACACTAAATAACCACTCAAAGCTGCTTCTCTTAAATGTTAAAGTATAACTATCAATTTTAAATCCTCAGGCTAATGCCCTAAGTATCTAGTTTATAAGAAATTTTTAAAATATCAGTTTAGTAGTTCTACTTAGGCCACAATCTAAACCAGTAGTTTCCTTTCGCATATTTAGATTTCAAAAAGAGATCTAAAATAGAATGAAATAGGGCTTACGGAGACCTTATAACTCCCCATTATCTACAGCAGGGTTTCTCAACAGCAGCACTATTGACATTTGGGGTCAGACAACTGTTGTCGGGGGCTGTCCTGTGCACTGTAGGATGTTCAGCAATATCCCTGGCCTCTACCCAAAAGATCCCAGTAGCATTCCCCCAGCCATGACAGTCAAAATGTCTCCATATACTGCCAAATATCCTAGGGTTTGGGGGAGGAGCAATCACCTCCAGTTGGGAACCAATGATCTATAGGATAAAGCCCAAGGTATGGGCCCATCATCATTTACCTATTTAACCACCCTGGGCTCCTCCCTGTTGTTCATTATGGCCCCCACCTTCCCCTCCCTACATACACACTTAGTTACACAACACCACCACTCTCCTAAATGCTGTACCCCAGGAAGCCTGCACCCTCCTGCTCTCCAGATAATCACTCTGGCCTCTAGAGCCTGTTTAACTTAAACACACTTCAATTGTTGCGCTTACCACACCATACTGTAATGATATATAATATATCTCTCTCCCCTGCCAGACTTTGAGCTCAGGGAGTCACAGTCCATGTCTTTCCACTTGCCTCTCCCCATCACAGGTAGAACTCAGTACTCAAAAGTGTTTGTTGACCGACATTCTAAAATCAAAATCACACTTACCTCTCTATGGTGACAGAAGTCAGAACAGAGATTGCCGAGGGAGGCAGGAATTAATTGAGAAGGGGCATGAGGGAACTTTTAGGGGTAGCATAAATGTTCCAGATCTTTGATGTTGGTTCCATGGGTGTATACATTTGTTAAAACTCATCAAACTACGGTATTGCACCACATAACATCTCTTTGTGTGACGTCTGACTGCATACACATGCATGGTTTTTAATATAATAGGCTTTATGGGTGCTGGTTCATAGCTATGGGTTGTACATAAGTCGGACGTTCATAACCCAAGGACTGCCTATATATAATGTGTTCACACAATATCCAAATTACTAAACATCCTATTTCACAGAATGTATCGTGGATGTTAAGTGACACGACTATACATACTTAAAATCTGTGCATTTAGAAAGAATCACACCTACCTCTTTTTGCAGCTTCATGCAATGGATTGTCAATAGATTCTGCCTGTTCAGCCACTAGATTGAGAAGAAAAAGTACACAGCCAAAGTTAAGAGTGCCACATACTATAGGGGAAGGCAGCACAACTGGACTAAACCAAAGCTAAGAAGTTTCCTGAATACAACCAAGCACTTTGAGGGACAGAGTAGCAGGGGCAGGGGTCTGGGACCATGGTTTCAGGGGACATCTAGGTCAACTGGCATAACAAAGTTTTTTAAGAAAATGTTCTGCATCCTACTTTGGTGAGTGGCATCTGGGATCTTAAAAGCTAGTAAGCAGCCATCTAAGATGCATCAATTGGTACCAACCACCTGGAGTAAAGGAGAACGAAGTACACCAAAGACATAAGGAAAGTATTAGCCGAAGAGACAGAAAGGGCCACATAAACCAGAGACTTCATCAGCCGGAGAACTGAATGATGGTGTCCGGCTACCACAATGACCGCCCTGACAGGGAACACAACAGAAAGTCCCTAATGGAGAGGAGAAAAGTGCGGTACAGAACTCAAATTCTAGTAAAAAGACCAGATTTAATGGTTTGATTGAGACTGGAGGGATCCCAGAAGACATGGCCCCCGGACTCTCTATTAGCACAAAACTAAAACCATTCCCAAGGCCAACTTTTCAGACAAAGATCAGACTGGACCATGGGACATAAACTGATACTTGTGAAGAGTGTGCTTCTTAGCTGAAGTAGATACACGAGACTAAATGGGCAGCTCCTGTCTGGAGGCGAGATGAGAAGGCAGAGAGGGTCAGGAGCTGGTTGAATGGATATGAGGAATCAGGGGTGGAAAGGAGGAGTGTGTTGTCACAGTATAGGGAGAGCAATTTGGGTCACGTAACAATGTATGTATAAATTTTTATAGGAGAGACTAACTTGAATTGTAAACTTTCACTTAAAGCACAACAATAAATAATAATAATAATAAAATAAAAAAAAATCAAACTGACATTTCCTGCGTTAAAAGAAGCTGAATTATGTGTTACATGAAACAAACCAAGCAATAAGGCAATAACAAAGCAATTAATTGGAAGGTAAATAAACAACAGATCCATGATTGCCAGTTTATTTAAGTGCTTAAAGAACAAATAAATTTGGAGAAAAAAACAGAAGAAAGCATTTAGAGTTCATTTTTACATTCTGTAAAACACACTACTTTTAAGATGTCTGAAAATAACTGTTTCTCTACGTGTGTGCATGGGGGGGCGGGTAGTGGTAGAGGGAGAGGATAGTTTGCTTCCTGTATTCAGAAAGGACAACCAGCATCCTCTAAGGAAGGTGTATTCCCTGTTATCCAGTGAAGACTGCTCTTCAAACGCTACTTCTGGCCCAACCCTTCCCCACTATTAAAGGGCTATAAGATGACAATTCCTTGAATATAGGAGAGGACAGTGGTGGTCCAGTGGGAGAATTTTTGCCTTCCATGCAGGAGACACCCTCCCTCCAGCCCCCCATGCATAGCCACCACCTGTCTGTTAGTGGAGGCTTGTGTATTGCTATGCTGTTGAACAGGTTTCAGTGGAGCTTCCAGACTAAGATAGACCAGGAAGAAAAGCCTGGCAATCTATTTCCAAACGTCAACCAATGAAAACTCCATGAATCACAACAGTACGATCCTGTTGTGCATGGGGTCGCCACAGGTTGGGGGTCGACTCGATGACAACTAACAACAACAAAGCAGCAGAGGCACAAGTTACCATGTCCATGATCAAGGTTGGAAATGGGGTGCCTGGTAAAGGTGTATTTGGGATTTCAAAGACTTAGAAGAGTGTAGAAACGTTTAAAGTCTTCTTTGTTGAAAAACAGTACTGCCCTTAGACCAGGGCAGGTGAGGCCCCTGGGCTTTGAAGTGCTTTCTTTGATGTTTTCTAAATTCCCCTCCACTGCCTGGGACTAGTGCCTGATTCCAGCCCTACTGGTCTAAGGATTCATCTAACATTAAACTTGAAAGGGATCGTAGAAGTGATGTGAATCCAACCTTCTCATTACACAGATGGGGCCTTGGTGGTGCAGTGGTTAAGAACTCGGCTGCTAACCAAAAGGTCAGCAGTTCAAATCTACCAGCCACTCCTTGGAAACTCTGTGGGGCAATTCTACTTTGTCCTATAGGGTCGCTATCAGTCAGAAATGACCCAATGGCAATAGATTTGTTTTTTTTTTTTTCATTATACAGATGAGGAAACTGAGTCCCAGAGGTAGTAGTCATGTCTTAACCAAGGTCCCCTGACGTTAGGAAGTGGCAGAAAAAGGATTAAAATCCAGGCCCCTTGTGTACCAATCTTGTGCTCTTTTTACTTTACTCTGCTGTATTTTTACCTTACTCTGCATAAGTATTTTTGTCTGTTTTATCTTCCAACTAGAAGCAGCTTCAGGGCAGAGGCAAAGCTCCCCCAACTGCCATGATAAGCATTTAATAAACATTGCTGCTCCAACATGAATTAACAAGGCTGGGTTCCTTCATCACAAAAGAAAGGGCTATTTAAAGAAACAATCTGCGAGATTTTGTTTAACAGCAAAAAAAAAAAAAAAAAAAAAAAAATTAGGTCTAAGAGATGAATGAAGTAAAATCATAAACATTTCCTTGGAAACTTTGGGTTTCTTTCAAGATTGCTACATTCTTCAGATTGTGACTTCTACAAGCCAAAGAGTCAGCAAAGGAATCTGGCATCCATGGCTATTTTATTAATAAGAGGCTCATGAAAGGGGAAATGTTCGGGACTGGCAATGTCCCCATTGATTTCTCAGCCACAGCAGCAAGCAGAAGGGTCTCAGAAACCAAATAAATGAAAGTAGATGAAATCTAGACAAAGTAAAACCAGTACCGCAAGGCTTACCATAGTTGCTTGGAATGAGCCCAGTCCTGCCTTTGCAGGTGCCTTTCCACCAATTGGTATCACTCTGGTGAAAAAAATTAAATTAAGTGGTATTAAATCCAGTTTACATTCAAATCACTTTTAAAACTATTTGGCTCAGACAGTGTACCTGTTCTACAAAACATGCATTGGCCCTGTATTTATCAAACTTCACACTTCAGTTACGGTTGGCCATTCCCCTTATCACTAAATTACAAATACGCATACATCTGCCAGCAACAAGTCAAATACACTTCATCACAGAGCCTCAACAAGCAAACAAATAAGAAAGACAGTATAAAAGAGAAGAACAAAATTGCATTTAGTTTAGACCAGCTACAGAATTTTTTTTGTCCAGAGTCTATAATTTCTCTTACCTCCTAGATACTTTTTTTTTAGGGGGTGGGGGAAGCTCCTAAAGACCTCTTTATTTCACCTTCATTTTTTTTGTCTGTTTTTGTTTTGGGAAGGGGTGGTGTTGGTAATTTTTTTTATATTTATTGTGATAAAATATATATTAAAAAATATTTGCCATATTAGCCAATTTTACATGTACAATTCAGCGACATTAATTACATTCACTGTGTTGTGCTACCATCACCAATATCCATTTCCAAATGTTTTTCTTCATCTTAAATAGAAACTCAGTACCCCTTAAGCAGTAATTCCCCATTTCCCTCTCCTTCCAGTTCTCCCGGTAACCACTAATAAACTTCTGTCTCTATGTATTTGCCTATTATAGATACTTCATATAAGTGAGATCATACAATATTTGTTCTTTTGTGTCTGACTTATTTCACTCAGTGTAAGATTTTCAAGGTGCATCCATGTCGTGGCATGTTATCAGAACTTTAAGGCTGAGTAATATTCCATCGTATGGACATACCACATTTTGCTTATCCATTCATCTGCTGATGGACACTTGGGTTGTTTACACCTTTTGGCCATTTTGAATAATGCAGCAATGAACATTAGTGTAGTCTGGAGGGAGTAACTTTTTATTATAGAAAAATTCAAGCCTCTACAAAAATAGAAAGAATAGTATAATGAACCTACATATACCCATTTCCCAACTGCACAAATTATTTACACATTAGTTGGAACTGACTCAATGGCAGTGGGTTTTTGGTTAATCTTGTTTCATATATACTCCTATCCACAGCTTCTCTCCTCTCCATAAATTCTAGACATATTATTTCATCTGTAAATATTCAGTATATCACTTTAATTTTTTTTTCAACAACTCCTTAATATCATCAAATACCTAGATCAAAACTCAAATTTCCCAAGTATCCCACAATTTGGGACCAAAATACATTGTGACTGATTGATTGACTTGCCTCTTAAGTCTCTTTAATATACAGGTTCCCCCTTCATCTGTTTTTTTTTTTTTTTTTTCACCCCTTGCAATACATCTGTTGAAGAAACCAGTTTGTTGTCCTATAAAGTTTCCAACAGTCTGGATTTTGCCTGTTGCATCCCTGTGTTGTCACTAAACATGTTCCTGTAGTCCCTAGATTGTCTAGAAATTGGTCCTTAATTCTAGAGGCTTAATTAGATTTGGATTCCATTTTTTGGCAGGGTAGGGGGGCAGTAGGACTATTTCATAGGCTATATTAATTTCTTTCATCAGGAGACACATAATGTCTGGTGGTCTCTTTTTGTAATGTTAGTAGCCACTGATGATTGTTGTCTGCATCCATTATTTCATACGGGTTGCAAAATGGTGACATTCTAATTCTACTATTCCTTCTTCATTTAAATAGCTGGAATATCTCTTCAAAATGAAACGTTCCCTCATCAACTCTCGGTTATCCAGAGGAGCAGTTTATAGAGAAAAGGCAGGATAAATGCTGACTCTTTACCAGTTTTCAAAATAAAAAGCTGGTTTCCTAGCATTCTCTCAGGGTGAACAATAATGTTTTGTTGTTGTGTTCTAAGTATTATCAGAAACTAATGGATTTAAACATATTTAATGCATTGCAATCCTTCAAAGTTGTTCTCCTAATTGATGCTCAAACTGTCCCATCTTCGGCCAATGGGAGTGTCTTCAGGTGAGTTCCTGAGTCTTTCCAGTGTGACCCTAGTAGTCTTTGGTGGCTTCCTTGCTTTCTAATAGCAAGATGTTCTGGGTTCATCTTGTATCTTTGCGGCCCCAGACCTGGTATCAATCATTTCTCAAAGGAGCTTTGGTCCTTTTAGTGAGAAATGACGTATTATTGGGTTGGTCATTTTTTCTAGGCCTTTTCAAAGAACAGGAGTAGGAAACGTTTTTGTATTATTTCAGGTAAAATACATTATGATACTCCAACTGAAATGCAGGACTGCAGGGTTTTTACTTAACTTCATCAATTTTACATCTGTATCTCCCTTCTCCATGTGGCAAATCCCAGGTCTCAACATCACTGCCCTAACGACTCATTTGCTCTAAACCACAATACACATGCAACAAGCTCAGAAGAGCAGTACCAACACTTCCCCAACAAGATCAGGACTGAAAACAGTTCTGTTTGTCCTTCATATATATTGTACTAGGGAAGTTCAGTCCAATCACTGAGTTTTAACATCACTTGGAATAGTTCCTCTCTGTGTGGTTATGCCATGCATTGGGGTACAATTAGCTTCATCTAATTCATCTTGCTTTTAATTTTTAGGGGTTGCTTTTTACAATTTAATTTAATAACGTAAAAGTTTACATGATTTCAAAGTCAAATATTTAAAACTAGGTATATTATTTTAGAAAATCTATTTTCCATCTATGTATTATTTATGTTCCCTCTATCTATGACCCTCTTCCCCCACACAGATAGAATAATTTTTTAAATTTTATTTTACAGTTTAATTCTGTGACTTTTTGCTTTAAATTCAGGCATATAGGTATATGTATATTTTTAGATAAGTGAGAACATGATATATACTTTTTTCTACCTTGCTTTTTTCACTTAGCAAAATATACTGAAGATTATTCTATAGTAGCTTATAGATATTCCTCATTTCTTTTTATAGCTGCATAATACTCCATTTGTTGATATACCAAATTTTATTTAATTATTTTCCTACTGATGCACACATGGGCTACTTCCAATCTTATGCTATTATAAACTATGCAGAAATGAAGACTTGTGCATATGTATTTCTATATAATTATCAGTGCAGGCCCACATTTAAATAATATACAGTGTTACAGCTACATGAAACAGTCTTATTTTGGACAACTTTTGTTCGTATGTAGTATTACAAAATGTTATCCGGGCTTACCATGTCAGTAATATAGATAATATCACCTTCTTCAAAGTACAATTCATCTGGCTAAAAGAGAAATAAAAAAAGTTTGACTCCATGTGATTTTTCATGAATCAGAATATAATGATTATGATAATAATTATATATATTTCAAATCATAAAGTATCTTTATAGAAAATGCATTTTTATATACTTAAATCTGCACATAAAACATAATGTATGTATAAGAAAAAAAACCAAAACCATTGTCATCACATCAACTCTGACTCATGGCAACCCCATGAGTGTCAGAGTAGAACTGTGCTCCACAGGATTTTCAATGGCTGATTTTTCAGAAGTAGATCACCAGGCCTTTCTTCTGACACACCTCTGCGTAGACTCAAACAGCCAACCTTTCAGTTAGTAGCTGAGTGCATTAACTATTTGCACCACCAAGGGATAAAACATGTATAGAAAGCAGAATGTTTCCTTTGATGAACTTCAAGGAATTACATATATAATAAATAAGAACAACCACCCCTCCCCTCCCCCACACACTTGCATCTTACACTCTTCCATAAGAAAAGCATTTTTATATCAAAATAAAATATCAATAAAGCTGCTTCCTACTAGAAATTCCAAAAGGTAATATGTATCTATGTTTTTCAAAAAAGAACAATCATCCAGAATTAAAACCATGAAAAACAGCCAGAAACCTGCTCTCTTCCAAATTAGTAGGCCTCAATCCTTTAACGTTTTAATATCAACATCTGCTATCTGCTTATTTTAAGAAAGCCATTACCCTATCTCTTCATGTTTGGAGAGAGGGAAGACTTCATAAAGTGGAGTAATTAATCCATAATTGAACCATTAATTAGTAAGGCTAAAGAGCTGAAAGGCAGAAAGCAGTTAACTCCAAAAAGTCTAGCGAAGACCAACAGCAGCTCCAAGGGGTTAGTTAATTACACTCGGCTCAGCGCCCAGCCTTGGACCAGTCAAATGTTCTACAAACTCTCTGAATAAAGTCAGGCAATTTAATTAAACATCTTCTTTTTCCTGGCAGTAGGTGACACTTACCAGCATGACTTTATGAGGAAACAGAACGATACTTACTGACAGCGAATTTCAGATACGGGGAAATGTTCTATGTTGTCATGTTGAATGAAAAATATAGGGCACAAAATTTCACATAGGATAACACCACAATTATGCATGAAATATGCATGGAAAATTTTCCAAATTTTCTATCATCAGCATAATTTTGGTGAGGAAAATAGTTTTTTTCAAAAAGCCTTTGTTATCTTCTGATTATAGTTATTGTTCCATACAAGTAAAAATTATGCTAGTGAAATAAATTCTTTCATCCATTCAGTTTTCTTGTTTACCGCCTCTCAGTGGCAGAATTGGGCAATAAAAATGACTTTGTAATGGTAATTTATTTAGCTTCAAAGCTGCCTACATTATTATTGTAACTACTTCCCCCTGAATACAAATGAGGACTACATCAGCTATACCATGTTTTGAGCAACCACAATACATGAATACTTAGATTATTATGCATTCAAATATAAAAATTAACAAATGATTATTAATGACACCAAAAAATGGTTGTGTTCCTTTGAAAGGCAAGTTCCTGGGTTACTTGTTGCATTTAGATTGATTAACAGAGCAGACCAACATGGGAGTCCCTGGGTGGTGCAAATGGTTAAGATGCTTGGTTGCTAACTAAAAAGTTGGAGGTTCAAGTCCACCCAGAGGTGCCTTAGAAGAAAAGCCTGGCAATCGTCTTCCAAAAAATCAGCCACTGAAAACCCTAGGGAGCACAGTTCTGCTCTGACACACATGGGGATGCTATGAGTCAGAATTGATGTGACTGCAACTGGTAGACATACACAGCACAAACTATACATAGACCTGTCGACATACACTTTAATATCATCTGAAATAGGCATTTTGGAGAAAAAAGTAAAGCCCTCTAAGATTGTCTCTAATCTTACTCTAAAATGTTCTGATGATCTATGATCAATATCACTAGTAATATGTGATAGATATAGAAAGTGATTAGAGAAACAAACTATTTCCTTGAGTATTTCCCTGCTGCAAACTGGACCACTCCCAAAGAGAGGCCAGAAAGAGGACTTACTCTCCACCATCACAGCATCTCAGCTGGAGAGAGTGGCCAGCCCCCTTAACAGGAAGGTTGGCAATTTTAACATCATTTGACTATCTCTCCTTTAGATGGCACTAAGGGCTGCGCACTGGTTAAGCGCTCACCTGCTAACCAAAAGGTAGGTGGTTCAAATCCCCCAGTCACTCTGCCAGAGAAAAGACCCAGCGATCTGCTCCCGTAAAGATTACAGTGTAGAAAACCATATGGGACAGCTGTACCCTATCCAGTACGGTTGCTATGAGTCAGCACAGACTCAACAGCACACAACAACAACAACAAGGGATAGGAGGCAGGCAGTGGTGGTTCAGTTGTAGAATTCTTGCCTTCCACGCAGAAGACCCAGGTTCGATTCCCGGCCAATGCACCTTATGCGCATCCACCACCCATCTGGCAGAGGCTTGTGTGTTGCTATGAATCTGAACAGGTTTCATTGGAGTTTCCAGACTAAGACAGACTAAGAAGAAAGACCTGGAGATCTACTGCTGAAAAATCAGCCAATGAAAACCCTATGGATCACCACAATCAAATCCAGTTGTGCACAAGGTTGCCATGAGCAGGGGCCAACTTGATGGCAGCTAACAGCAACAAGGGATGGGAGGGAAGAATGAAAACAGTGGAATGGTATAAGAAAAATATGATACATGTGACCAACAGCATTTTTTCTTGAGTAACTTTGAGTTCCCTGGAGTTCTGAAAGAATTCAAAGCCTTGGAAAATCTTTCTTGTCTTAGAGCCATTGTGGGCTACCTTATTCTGTACTTTCCCAAGAGTTAACCTCACCCACTCAGTCTTAACAATGAATCTTCTTCAATCAGTGCCTTCAGAGAAGGAATCATCCCTTTCCAAAGTTTTAGCCTCCTCCTAAAATCACGAAAGTCAAGTTTGCCTAAATCTCTACATTGAGTAAGATCATTCACCCTTGAAACAAAAAGGCACATCATGAAAAAGTAGCTTAAAAAACAAAATGCACACACACACACCCTGTGATTTGTCTTTCTCATACAAAAGTAATAAAGTCAAGAACAGTTAAAACTCTTAATATCTTAAGAAATTCTTGTCCGTCATGGCGTGATAAAGTGCATCATTTGGAAAATGTCACTAAGCACGGTCATTTTGATACTTCTCAGTGCTGTGTCAGTTTTTAAATTAATGGCTGGTGCACAATAGTGGTGTCTGCCACAAGCCACCATGAGGTCAGACTTGTTTTTCAGCTAAGACAACAACATGGCGGTCGATTTCAATCAGGTAAAAAGAGGTCGCGCTATTTTTTCATCCTGAGAAATGACAGTGGAGAGTTTATTCTCTGTTTTAATCAATAACTCCCAGATGCACAATGCCATTACCTGTAAAATATCTTCTTCCAGAGAAACTAGGGGCAGTGTTTCCTAACCTCGCTATGGAGGTGGTCCACCAAATTCTTCAGACTGTTGGTGGTAGTACAGAAGACAAGGTAACTTCATGATTATAATAAACTTAGATTTTACCTATAATATTCACATTTTCCATTAAGAAACCACTAGCAGGGCAAAAACCAAACCTGTTGCCATTGAGTCAATTCCGACTCATAGGAACCCTATAGGACAGAGTAGAACTGCCCCATACAGTTTCCAAGGAGCGTCTGGTGGATTCAAACTGCCGACCTTTTGGTTAGCAGCCTTAGCTCTTAACCACTATGCCACCAGGGTTTCCATTAGCAGGACACTTAATGTAAATTGTTCAATGAGAATCTAGTTTTAAATTCCTGGCATCATATTCATAGGACAGAAATGGGAAAAGAGTGACACAATCAAGTAAGCACTTCGTTATTTCCAGCTTGTTCTTTGGTTTTTAACCACATTCCTCCTTTCCTCTCTCCTTGAAGAACCACAGAGGTTTCAGAACAAGTAAGTTGTTGGCCGCTGGGATGTTACAGTGATGAGTACAAACTTGGTCACGTACATGCCCACTCTAAGGTATGAATTTTGCTGATTAATACAAATATATCTTTTAAGGACAATTTTAGAAAAATTGTGATATAGTTTTGAAACTCCTCAGATTTGTCCATCTGGAGCCCACAAAAACTAATAAAAAGAAAAAAAAAACCAAAATTCTCTGTAGAAGTTTTTAGTGAACACTTTTACAGTGCTTTATTCTGTGCCAGGCAGTAGTCTGGGCATTTACAAATATTAACTAATTTAACCCTCCCCAACAATCCTATGAAAAACAACCAATTGCTGTCGAGTCAATTTCAACTCATGGTGGCCCCATGTGTGTCAGAGTAGAATTGTGCACCATAGGGTTTTCAATGGTTGATTTTTCAGAAGTAGATCACTAGGCCTCTCTTTTGAGGACTGAAACCTCCAATCTTCATTTAGCAGCCAAGCACGATAACCCTTTGCGCCACCCAGGGACTCCACAATCCTATGAGGTGGGTACTATTCTCATCACTATGTTATACAGATGAGGAACTTGTCCAAGGCCATACAACAAGTACATGGTGGAACCCACACTTGAACCAAGACCACCATCTATGCTATCACTCATACAAAAGGGTTATGAGTATAATTGGTGGTCATGGCACATGACCAGATTAAAAGCTGGTGGCCATAGAAAAATGTTACTCCCTCACAGAATGCAGTACAACAGAACAACAGCAGCACCTTACACTTGCAAAGCACGCTTGGCCTCCTTTGATTCTCACAATAACCCATTAGGCAGGGCTGGGTCATGGATATTATCTCCATTTTACAAACAGGTTCAGAAAGGTTAAAGAACATGTCCCAAATTACTCAGTTAGTGGGTGGAGGCCTGGGCTCCTACCTGAGCCTTTGAATTCCCAGTCCACAGCTCCTTCCTCTACACATGGTGCTATAAGCCTAGCGACGCTCAGCAAACATTCCATGAGCAAAGAAAGGTCCCGCTGGCTTCCTTTTGGAGATCAACAGGCCTCCAGCACACAGGCAATGCGGTGCTGTCCTCATCAGAGCCTCTTCACTGGTCTATCCAGTCCTCCCAGATGTCTGTATGATGTTGTTATTGGATGGGCAGGGGAAGGAGGGTAGGATAAGAACTAAACAGGGCTGGGCCATGCCAGGACTATCTCGCCTTCAAGCAAGACAGATGCAAAATGGGTTGGCTAGAAGAACCAGGAGCTACAGCTGCTCAGTGTTCTATCTGTTCAGTGGACCACCAAGGCTAGGGTCAGTACTGCTACCAGCATCTCTATAGGGTAGAAGAGTAGCTACAAACAGGGCTCAGGACTCTCTAGGGGTACTGTTCCTGTCGGCCACAGTCCCTCTGAGTCCAGCTCAGCCCTTCGAGCTTTCCTGGTGCCAATGACTTGAAGGAGGCCAGGTCAGTTTGGGATGTACTGAGCTATATCCAGCCCTCTGGAGGAGATGGCCACTGTTTGATGGGGGAGAAAGATCAAACTGGGCTCCCAGCATTGTCCAACAGAAATTCTGACTCAGAAAAGGAATTTAGTACTAACCTAGTTCTGGGATGATACTCAAAATGGTGAACAACTGGTACAGCATGGGTGCTAACCAGTTAGGATGTTCCACGGGAGCTGCAGGCCGCCTGCTCTCCCCGACGCTACCCCTTTATAGCTGGGTTGTAGGGAGATGGAAAGGGGCAGAGTGTGGGGGCAGCGGCCTTGGGGCAGCTACTATTGACTACCAGGTACATATAGGATGGATTAGCAGCATTGCTTAGTGGCGTAGGATCCTTGGGACCAGGAGTATTAAAAACTACAATTCAACTTTAAATACTGAGTGTTCAAAAGCCTAATGAATTAAATATCTATTTTCTCGTATGCATTCAACAATAACTAAGAAAACAAAGCAATGGAGACTTCATCCTGGAGCAGAATTAGAGGTAAATTAATCAATGCATCAACCAATCAAAAAACATTTGTTAAGTTCTACTAATAAAGCAACCTCTTCTTCTAATAGTAATCATTACTCCTTAATAGTAATGTTGTTGTTAGTTGCTGATTCTGACTCATAGCGACCCCATGGGTGCAGAGTAGAACTGCTCCATAGGGTTTTCAAGGCTATGACCTTTCAGAAGCAGATCAACAGGCCTGTCTTCTGAGGTGCCTCTGGGTGGATTCGAACCACCAACTTTTGGCTAGTAGTTGAGCGCTTAACTGTTTGCACCACTCAGGGACTCCTTAATAGTAACAGCCACTTTATTCAATTAATCTCATTTAATTTTCACTAAAACCTCATGAAATTAATATTATTCTCATTTTATAGACAAAAAAACTGACGCACAGAGAGAGGTTAGGAAATTCTCCCAAAGTCACACAGTTGCTAAGAGGCAGAGCTGGTCCTGAAATCTAGGGTAGGCTCAGAACCCCTACACTAGACTGCCTCCCTAGACATGTGCTAGTGAACAGAACAGAAACACCAACACTAGAAGGTGAGAGACGAGAGAGGGATCCCACTTCTAGCTGGAGTGGGCAGAGAGGTCTTTATGGAAGAGCAAGTATTTAATTTGAGTGTAGAGGGGACTCAATGCCACGAGTCCAGAAAAGGTTCCGAGATGGCCTGTACTGTGAGTCAGATCTAGACAGGATGGTCTAAGAAGGAAACAGAGGAAAGCAGGGCTGGAAAGGTGGGCTGGACTGTGGGGCACACATATTCTTAGTCAAGAGATGGGGTCAAAGCAACATTTTAAGGAAATCAGTCTGGCTAGAGTCAGTATGCTGGAAGCTCGTAAAGACACAAGATGATAAGGAACCAAAGGAGGAAGGAACAGGGCGGTGAGAAAGGACAAAGGTGATGACCAACAGGACACAGGAGGAAGAGAGAAGAAAGAGTCAAGAGTAACCTCAGGTCTCAAAACCGAGTAAACGCAGGTCTCATTCTGGCATTAGGGAGGAAGCGGGCAATGGTCTACTTAGTGACTGGCCCAGGAGGAGAGCTGAGGACCCTACTCCCACCTCCCCCATCAATCCTCCTCAGGCGTCATACAACCTAGGAAACAATTGAAAAAGACAATCAGATCAATGAAATGATAGCCCTCCCTATGAGCAGGGGATACAGTCAACAACTACTGGGCCTTACACTTCCCATCTGTCCCCCAACCTCACCAATACAGGACAGATATGCTTGGAACCTCTTGGTGAGGGGAACAAACAATGGAGAGACCTACCTCTACTCACCCAATCTCTTTCTTGTTTCAGAAACATTTTAGGTACCAAGTCTTACGAGAGCTCATCTGAACACACGTACCTCTTACTAGCTATACAACTTGCTACCATTTACGGGCATCACCAAGGGGCAGGCTTTAAATATTTATCTCATTTCCAGTCTCACAACAGAATAGCTAATATTATTCTCACTTTCAAATGAGGAAATCAATGACAAAGAAGGTCTAAGTAAATTTACACTGCAAGTAAATAGCAGCTTTGGGATTAGAAGGCAGGTCCTGGCCTGATTCCAGTGAATCAATGCTCAGTGCCACTTTCTGGGTGCCTCTGACTTTGAGGGACCACAGGGTCCAGGGCAAGCCCAGACAAAGCTGACAGTAAGCTGGCTGCCACAGAGAGAAGGCTCTAGTCTCTAGCGTGTAAGGAGAAAAGTCATTGCAAGCATGTCCATGTCTCTCATCTTGGTTTCTTTCTCCTCTGCCCGCTAACTATCTGGACACCCTGCTTCCACTCTTGTTCTCCTAGATGGTTTTCCGCACCTCAGGTACAGTGGGTCTTCTAAAACTTATCAGATCACTCCTATACTCAAAATCCTCCAAGGGCTTCCCACTTACCCAGAGCATCAGCCAAATGAGACTCTTAGGTCCCTCATGATCTGCCCTTCCTTTCCACCTCCACCTCTCTGAACTCATCTCCTACCTTCTTCTCCCTTGTTCATTACTTTACAAGCCAGACTGTCCTTCCTGCTATTTCTAGCACCCACCAGAGATGTTCCTTGCGCATAATTTCCCCAGGCACACACAAAACTCCCTCCCTCACTTCCTTCAGGTCTCTATTCAAATGCCACCTTTACAGAAAGGCCATCACTAAACTTCTATCAAAAATAATACTCTTAACAATTCCAGGCTGGCGTCACCATGTCTGACTACCCCCTCTTCGGGTGAACAGGAAGGAAAATGTGCATTGCACTCTGTGCAGTGAAATTACACAATTCCTGGAACATAAAACCAGGTGGGGGAAGATCCTCGGGGTCCTTCGTCCACAGTGCAAAGAGAGCGGACACGCATGGAAGTTTTCCACCCCACCCAAACCGCCTGTGATGGAACTTTCCTGTTGTACACTGTCTTTTGTCTGTAAGTAATTAAAATGGTTTTCACTATTGTCAAAATGATAATAATAACAACACTCTTTAGTCCCTTCGTTGACCTCTTTGTCCCTCCTCTTCACAGAACTTATCAGCCCAACAGTCACCTTCCTTTCTCTGTTGACTGTCGTTCTCTTCCCATTGGGATGCAAGCTCCATGAAACCATCCTTTGTGTAGTTCCCTGCACTATCCCCAATGCCAGTGTCCAGCACATACCAAAACCCAAACCAAACCCTCTGCCATAGAGTTGATTCTGACACATAGCAACCCTGTAGGATGGAGTAGAACTGCCCCATAGGGCTTCTAAGACCATAGTCTTTACAGAAACAGACTGCCACGTCCTCCTCCTGCGGCGCAGCTGGTGGGTTCAAACCACTGACCTTTCGGTTCACAGCTGAGCACTTAACCATTGCTCCATGGCTCCTTATTTGGCACATAGTAGATGCTTACTAAAGAATGGAGAAATGGGTGGATTTATGGACTGATGACAGTAACTATACCAATGGGAAATGCATTCAGCAGAGGTGTACAAAGGCCTATGGGAGGTTGGCAAAGGTGTCATTATGTCAGCTTGAGGCAGAGGGTCAAGAGGTGAATCAGGGGAGGTTAGAATGAGATTCAGAGAGAGGATGACTAAGACATGGTCACTGTGCTTTACACAGAGGTCACCTGGTGACTCAAAGAGGGTGGTGTCACCACACTGGAAGAACCAGCACAAGACAGACACATGACTTTGAGAAGAGGAGGATAAGCAAATCACCCTGGAGCTTAGCTTTCAGACCTCTGTACCGTGCTGGGAAATGACCAGACAGTCACTTGACAGCAACTGGCTTTTAGGAGTCCCTGCAGAGTGTAAACAATTAACTCACTCAGCTGCTGACTGAAAGGTTGGAGGTTCAAGTCCACCTGGAGGCACCTTGGAAGAAAGGCCTGGTGATCTACTTCCACTGAGTCACTTCCACTGAAAACCCTATGATGCACAGTTCTCCTCTGACACATATGGGGTCACCATGAGTAGACATCCACTCGATCGCAACTGGTTTTATCAAAAAAAAAAAAGGATGACTGTCTAGGCCAGAGGAAGTGTCTAAATGAAATACCTTAGGTTTTTATGTCAGTTTAAAAGTTAAAAACTGAATACTTACAGTTCGGGGTTCAAACGTATACAGAGCTCTGAAGACTTTAACTTGCCCTAAAACAGAGAGGAGAAAAACAACACACAATCAATTCTTTCATTTCTAATTTTGCTCTAAATGGCTTTATCTGTTATACTCATCAGAACTCCCTAATTAAAACCCCATGTGAGAAATTCTAGAATTAACTGCTTTCTGCATAGGAGGTATTTTTAAATTTCTGTTAAATGAACACAGGAATAAACACACACCTCTGGGGGCTACTCTGCTTCCTCCTTTCTCGTAGCAGGAGCTACAGAATTTATCATACTTACCTTCTTGTCCCGTATAGAGCCCTTCCAATCCTAAAATCTAACTTAAAAATATAAACGTGAGCGTCATAAGACAAAAAAGATATTAATGTGACAATCTGCAGTGATTTAATATTTTTAAATTAGTGGTTTAGGATTTTATTTTTTCCCAGAAAAAGAAAATATCATAGAGGAAAAAAGTACCTGTCATGGATTGAATTGTATCCCCCCAAAATATGTGTCAACTTGGCTAGGCCATGATTCCCAGTATTGTGTAGTTGTCCTCCATTTTTGTGAGCTGATGTAATTGTCCTCCATGTTGTGGTATTTTGTAACAAGGCAGGATTAGGGTGGGGTGATTTTGAGTCGCATCCTTACTAAAGGGCGTGACTCAAGTCACGGCCCTCACAGCCCTACTCAGGTCACATCCTTGCTCGAGTCATGCCTTTTATGTTACAAGAGATAAAAAGAGAGAGGACAGAGCAGAGAGGAGGAGACCTCACCACTAAGAAAGAGCTAGGAGCAGGGCATGTCCTTTGGACCCGGGGTCCCTTGCTCTGAGAACCTCCTAGACCTAGAGACAGAGAGCTGTAACACCGGAGACAGCACAAGACGGCAAGAAGTGACAGCAGCGAACCAGCAGTACAGAACCAGGCAGCAGCAGAACCAGGAGACCAGCAGGAGTCAGCACAGTGGGTATGCCGACCCATGAAGCAAGAGAGCTGAGCACCTCTGGGCAGGAGGCATACTGGTAAAGTAGGGGTGCCTCCGGGCACTTGTTGGCAGAGCTAGGCTTGCCAACCCAACAAGCTGGAGAGCTGAACACCTTCAGGCCGAGGCGTACTGGTGGAGTGGGGTGCCCTCTGGGCACTTATCAACGGAGCTAAAGAGCTCTGTAACACTTGCCCAAGCAGGGCAGGGATCAGGCCAGGCCAAGAGGCCAAGGTGCTGAGGGCTGAGAGAAAGAGAAAGGCCTGCCTACGGGTATGGCTGAGAAGCTGTCCTGACCGAATAACTGTATCCTGAGTCATTTCTGATCTTGAATTGTAACCTGTTATGCCAAGACTCATGGAGATCTCCAAGGAACACCAGGCCCAGAGATGCTGAAAGGAGACAAGGACGTTCCCCAGAGCCAACAGAGAGAGAAAGCCTTCCCTTTAGAGCTGGCACCCTGAATTTGGACTGCTAGCCACCTAAACTGTGAGAGAACAAATTTCTGTTTGTTAAAGCCATCCACTTGTGCTATTTCTGTTACAGCAGCACTAGGTAACTAAGACAGTGCCTACAGGAGAAATATGTGATTCCATAAAGTCCCCAAACAGAGAAGAGGGTGCAATACCTCAGCAAACAGGAAGTCATGGTCATGAGTGTTGGCCTTCATTCCACCAACCAATGCCTTTCTTTGTATGTCCCTCTTCTCAGTTTCCATAACACCCTGTATTATAGTCACTGAGTAGCTGGCCTGTCTCGTTCGAGGACATGAACCTTTCCCAGTATCTGCCTGGCATATGGTATGAACTTAATGTTTGCTAAATAAATACGTAAATAAATGAACAAACTCCAACAGCACAGGAAACAGACTACAGTTAGCAAGAAATGGCCTTTTATGAAATAGATTTAGGAAAGATATTAAAATAGAAAGACTACCGATTTAGAATGTGGTAACAGTTCACAGTTTCAGCACTGGACAAAACTTTAGAGACCATGTTGTACACCATGTCATTGAAAACGGTGCCCTCCAAAGTGGGATACAAGAAGACTAATTCCGAAATTATTTAGATTTTTATCCCATTCTTTTTCACTCCTATTTTTTAATATGTTTTAGGATACATTAAGATCCCTGGGGGAAGAAACAGTTAAACATTTGACTACTAATCAAAAGGTTGGCAGTTTGAACCCACCTAGACATGCCTTGGAAAGCAGGCCTGGTAATCTGCTTCCAAAATGTCACAGCCTTGAAAACCCTATGGAGCACATATGGGGTCACCATGAGTCAGAACTGACTTGAGGGCAACCAACAACGACATGATATATTAACATGACAGCATATATATGTATGTATATATAAGTATATGTGATATCCACACATACAACTTATAAATACATATACATTTATTGGGCATGAGTACTCAAAACCTTTAGCTAATGGAATGTAAGTATTATGAGGGCAGGTATTTTTGTTGTTTTATGAATGATACATCCAAGCACCTAGCACACTGCCTGGCACATAGAGGCACTTAATACTTCACTGAATGAATGAAGCATGGATGGGTAAAGAGATTGCATAAAGGCTATTATGCAATCAAAGAAGTCTGAAGACCATTAGCTTAGAACAGTGCTGTCCAATATAACTTTATGCAGTGATGGAAAAGTTCTGTATCTACGTTAGTCACATGTAGCTCTTGAGCACCTAAAATGTAACTAGTGTGACTGAGAAACTAGATTTTTAGTACTATTTAGTTTCAATTAATTTAAACTGCTGCATGTGGCTGGTGGCTGCCGTGTTGAGTGGTGCAGGTTTAGAACAACAGAAAATTGAAAATGACTTAATGTCTGTCAAGAGGAGACTATGTAAATCAACTCTGATTTACATAATAATCATATAATAGATAGTCATTTAAAACAGATGCTGCAGAGAATGGAATTTCAAATTCTCATGGACCCCAGACTTTCTGGAGCCAGGGAGGCTGGATGAACCACCCCCCAAACGACTGCCCTGAGATAATCTTTAAACTTTAAACCAAAAATGTCCCCTGAAATCTTCTTAAAATTAAGCAATAGTTCAGCTTAACTAAGTTAAAAAAATGTCTGCCTTGAGCATTATGCTCTTTTAAGAACTATCTATACGGGATCAAATTAACAACAGTAACTCAAAGATTAGATAGGAACCTTAAGGGGCAGTAAGTTTGTATTAATAGGGGAGGAACAACTCAGAAAAGGAGGGTGAAAATGGTTGCACAACTCGAAGAATGTAATTAGTGTCACTGAATTGTATGTGCAGAAACTGTTGAAGTGGTGTGTGTTTTGCTGTGTATATTCTCAGCAATAACAACAAGTAAATAAAATTAATTTAAAAAACAAAGGAAAGAAAAGGATGCTGCAGACATATCCACAAACACTGACATGGAAAAAAGTCTACAACACATTTAGTGAATAAAGCCCATTATAGAGGAGTATTTCAAGTGCCATCCCATGCATGTTAACAAACACACTCACATACCCCTTGAATGATATCATCGATTATGGATTTTCACATTCAACTTCACATGTATTGTTTCTGTCCGTTACACTGAGCATGTGCTAATTTTACGAACAATGAAAACAGTAAAGATACTGGGGTGGATCATACTCTTTTTTCTAAACTTCCTAATATAGAAGAGCAGTTCAGTGTAGTGCGTATATTTTTGTGGTCTGAATTCCAGTGCCACATCTCCCCTGCTCTACTAGGCAGAGAGGTTAAGAGAGAAGCAAAAATGAAAACTTTTTTTTGTTTGGAGTTTGTTTTTACCCACACCCACACAGCATGGAGAAAGGAAAGGAGGAGATGTCTGGAGAAATATTTCTGCTGACTCAAATTTCTCTCTGAGAGTGGAGATTAGTTATCTTGATTACTTCGAAGTTTCCAAAGAGAAGTTCCACAAGGAAGCAGTCCACTCTTGACCAAAATCAATAATGAGAGCACTTTCTTGTTTCCTTGAAGAAAAGGCAGCCACGTAATATGTTGCTGCTGATTTTCAAAACAAGATACATCAATTTAAAGAGCTTAGCTACAATTCGATATAAAGAACCTGAAAACAGATGTTCAGTATGCTTAAACCACTGAGTTTTGTGATTATATCTTTCAAAATGCTCTTAACTGAAGTAAGTATAAATTTTATTTGCATTTTGATTTATGCTAAACATTGAACACCCAACAACTCCTCAGGCTATTATGCAAGGGAACATTCTATCTGTATAATGCATACTTTTACATACATGATCATGCTTATCAATGTGAGGACATTAGCCTCTTGTGGATCCGTCTTAACTCATATACTACAAAAATTCTCCACCTCAACTTATCCCATTTTCACAATTGAGTCAAGTGGAAATGGAAGAATAGAACAGAAACAGCCAGGGGATATGAAGAAATGCATTTAAAAAAAGAAAAACAGATGACTTTCATGATCACAGTTTAACAATCCTGGGTATTCTCTCAAGAGACTAATAATGAATGACACTTAATTCACTGATCATGTTTATTTAATGAAGGCAGATTCACAAATGATGTAAAGTGGTTGGCTGTGTCCATGTATACGTGCAGGCAGGCTAAATTAGATGGTGTCTTCAGGTTCCCTCCATCTTAATCATTGTCTCATGAAAGTCTGGTTACATATAACAAAGAGAGAAAGTGGGGCTGAGAAGACTGTGTGAATTACCTGGAATTCACCCTGAATTAAAATTTGAAAGAGGCTCAATCTTTTATCTTGAAGCTTTATGTCTATCTAGCATGGACTAGCATGTCAATGGCATTAAAGATTTGAGTACACCGACACCCTGCTAACTCAGAACTGAAGCCACTCCCGAAGTCCACCTTTCAGCCAAAGATTACACAGGCTTATAAAACAAACGATAACACAGGTGAGGAATGTGCTTCTTAGTTCAGTCAAGTATACGAGACCAAATGGGTAGCACTTGCCCAAAAGCAAAGACAAGAAGGCATAAAGAGACAGGAAAACTGGACAAATGGATAAGGGGAACTCAGGGTGAAAAGGGAAAGGGGAAGAGTG